GCGGAGGCCGAGGCCGTGATATCACGGTTATTGGGGCAGGCGGCGGGGCGGGCAGGGCGGCGGAGCGGCGCCGGCCAGGGTCGGGGCCTCTGCCACCTCAATTTGTTTTCTCTCACATTTGCGCCACCTCCTCGTCGGGATAATGTAATGTAGTGCGCGCCGCACCCAGTGCCCCAGCGGGCTGATTCCCAAATGAGGTCCGTCCCTCTCTCTCACACCCTCTGCGGGACCCCTATGAGTGCGAGAGAGACAGCCTGAACCAGCCTGCCGTCCTGCGGGTCCCGGTCCACCCCGAAGGCCTGCCAAAGACTCGCCTCGCCGCCAACCCTTTACTTGTGCTGGTGATGGGTGTGCAGCGCCCCGGTCGTTTGAACCGTTTTCCCGCCTTGATGAAGCAATTAAAAATGCTGCATATGGCACGGCACTGTACGGCACCGTATGGCACCTGCACGTGGTGCTGCTTGATGCTCCGGGCCATAAAACGGAATGGGCGGCGAGGCGGCGGCAAGGGTGCGCCGCGCTGCCAGGGTGCTGCCCTGCCCGCGGGGGGCTTCGAGCTTCGAGGAACAGCAAACGCTCCAAAACCGGCTGGGATTAAATTTTTGTCACGTCGCCGGTGTTTTCGTGACGCCAGCCGCACTGCTTTTTGGACCACGACAAAGAGGCGTGACACCGCGCTGCAGTGCTGTGGCAACCCTGCCGTCCAGCTCCAGGGACTCCAGGACTGCAGGGCTACAGTACAGGACTCCAGGGGCGTGGGGGCAACACACGCGCCCGGTGATGTATTGCGCCTGACTGCTGGCGCTGCACTGCGTAATGGCTGGACTAGGCTCCAGGCAGGCTGCAGGCAGGCTCCAGGCAGGCTCCAGGCTGGTGACAAGAAGGCGGCTCGGTGCGGCGGACACTCAAAGCATCCACACCTTGTCCCCGCCGCGCGCTTGGCAGTGCACTCGCAGTGCATGCCCCGCCTCGGCACTCTCGACTCGACGCCTCCATGAGCCGTGGACGCCGTGGACGCCCAGAACGCCGTGGACGGCAAGGAGAAGCCCTGCTCTGTGACGTCCGGCGCGAGCCAGTTTTACAGCTCCGTAATCTCGAAGGCATCGTGACAAAGGGGCGGCGCGACGCGTGCAACACAACCACACAACCGGTACGACTAAAGCACTGTGGAACTCTGGAACAGTGTCGTTGTACTAAGAACACGCACTCGGCGCGCGCCGCCGGCCCAGTACACTGTCGGGCACTGCATTTTGGCCAGGACGACAAACTGCTACCTGTTTTATCGGCTAGCTAGGCCACATCGGTTCACGAGTGTCTCGCGGGGCCTATCCGTCTTACCAGCAGCACGGCCTGCACGGCCTGCACGGCCTCTGGGGCCCGCTGCACGCTTTCTCGAGACTTCCCGAGGACCTCAGGACCTCAGCCACCCCTTTTGTGCAGCCGAGCAGCAGGCGACGCGACGTGGCCGACGTGGCTGCGGGGCACGACGAAGCGGGGCACAGCAACAGGTGGCCGAGGGGAACATACTCGTCGTCGCTCTGTCTCTCTCGCACTTATACGGACTGTCCCACGAGTGCGAGAGAGATAGAGCGACGAAGCGCTTTTCAGACTCAGCTTGCAGGGCGTCCGCACGCACGCAACCAGGGGCCAGGGGCCAGGGGCGCGGGGGGCTGGACCAGGTCAGCACCAGCACCGCGCCAAATGATGTGAACAGCCCCGAAATCGGACGACATGTTCCGGCTAAAATTTCCGCCGAGCGCGGCGGCCCGGCGGCCCGGCGGGCGGGATGGGACGGCGAGGACCCGGACGTCACTGGATAGCCCTTGGCCAGCGGGAGCGGCTGTATCGCACCGGAGAACCGGAGGAATGTCCCGATGGCGTGTCGCGCTGTCGCGCCGCATCCTGGCCGACGCCAACGAGCACCAAGCCCTTGCTACGCCGGCTGGCGTGTCTGCGGCCAAGCGACGCGGAAAGCTCCGGCGAAGGGAGGGTCCACGTCCACGGGGGTCAGGGCGGTGGTAGGGGCATCATCGCGAAGCTTTGACGAGCAGCGTCGCCGAAAACTCATTTCGCACACCGACAAGCTTGGCGTCGGCGCCGCATCGGCACGACATTCATTCGTTCATTAGTCTGCGACGTCGAGTAATTGTCATCATCAACATGCACTGCGTGGCTGCAAGGCGCGGCGCGGCACAGCGTGTGAAGGAGCACTTCCCCGCGGTCCCATCCCGCCGTGCCGTCGCGAGGGCTTCCTCCTCGCGGGGGAGGAGGAGGGAGTGGCGGCCGCCAGATTCCGAGCGATCGCTTCCTCGCCGTCTCTGTCGCACTCGCGGGGCGTGACGCAGGGGTGCGAGGGAGACAGCGACGAGGCTTCGACGAGGTGGCGGGGCGTCAGCGCGTCGCGGCTCAGTGCAAGCAGTGCAAGCAGGCGGCGGCCTCTCCAAGGCGGTCCAAGGCGGACTCTCGAGATTCCTCTTCCTCTCCCACACTGCCGGAACAGCAGGGCCTTCCCTCTCCGGTTCCCATGGACGCGCGCGTCGACGGGGTGCTGCCTGCTATTCGTGGAGCTCCTGGAGGCAGCCAGGCAGCCAGGCAGCAGCGCGCGGCAACAAACCGTTGACAAAACTGATTTGGGATTCTGACGCCGCCGCCGTCGCTGTCCTGCCCTGCCGCCCCGAGCGTCCGTCCCGCCGGCTGATTCCAACCGGTGGATCTTCGCTCTGTCTCTCTCGCACCCTTCCGGGGCGCGCCGTGAGTGCGAGAGAGGTGGAGCACCGTTCGGACGCAGCCTGGCGTCGAGACGGGCGTAACGACCACGCCGTCGGCCGCAGTTACGCTGCTGCGCGAGGCGGTCGCCCCCGGCCGGCCATCGGCCATCGGCCATCGGGCCCAGCCCCAGGCTGCCCAAGGCCCAGCCTGCCGATTTGGAAGGGAAATGTCTGGAGCGGCCGGGCCTGGCCGCCAGGCCATGGCCAGACCAACATCCCGACATCGATAACGGTGTGTGGGCGCATTATTTTGGGCCCGGCGACTTGAAATTCAGATTCGGATCCCGTCTGATTGACAATCATCGCTCGGTTCATATACATGTGGCCGCTTAGCATGAGGCTCGCCGTCGTGCGCGTGCCTAAATACTGATTCAAATCCCCGCCATTTGCATGGCTCGCCGTGCCGCCTTGCTGCGGGCCTCCTTGTTGGGAACCTGCGTGTTCCGTCTCCGTCAGCCGCGCGGCAGCAACGCGGCAGCGGCGTCAGGGCTGGTGAGAGCGACGAAGACGGACAGTTCCTCCTTCTCCTCCTCGTTGTCGTCGCTGTCGACGTCGAGTCCCGCACGACAAGTCCTATCCCGGAAAATAAAGGGAGCTGCCAAAGGTGCGCTTCGCAGAGGCACCGTTCAGGTTCGGGCCGTGACACTGTTTACACCTTCCACGGGGCCGGCGACAATGCGACCACCTCGAGCGGCCGGCGGATAACAGCGACAGAAAAAAGGGCGGGTTGCGAGAATGAGACAGGTAGGTAGCTGCAGCGATAGCAGCAAGAAGCACCTCGTCGTTTATTATGACATCTACGGGGGTGTTCTGTTGCGGGGGTGCCTGCCGCGGCCGATGAGGAGGCCGAGCGTCTCTCTCACACCCGTCTGAACGCCCCACGAGTGCGAGAAAGACAGAGCGACGAAACCAACCGGAAGGTGCGGCAACCCCGGCGCGTGGGAACACAAAAATCGGATTACCCAAGGCGGCTTGGATTGGACTGTCGGCTTGGAACACTGCGCGACGCTTGATTACGTACCGCCAAAAATTGCCGACGCGAGATTGGGTTGGGGTGGTTGGGGTTGGGACGCTCGGTCGGTTCGTCGGGTCGCCGGGTCGTTGTGCATCATGTGGTCCAAACGCGCTTTTGTTTTTTCGCGCGAGCTGGGCGGTCTATATTTATAAAGCGCGCGTCAGCTGCGGCTGCTGCTGGGAGCGGACGGACGGGACGGACGCGCTGTGTGTGTGTCTGTGTGTGTGGGAGTGAGACAGCGTCCACGGTCCGTGCGATCGCCGCGAGCGCGTAAGAAGCACAAGAAGTACTACCCCATTACCCAGCGACCTTGACTATTGCAGTTGTTATTGGGCTGAGGGACCAAACGGCCAAACAAACCGAGTGTTTGACTCGCCGCCCGGCCGCCGCCGCGGCGCGCATCCATGTTGTTGTTGTTTGTAGCGAGGACGTGGGAAGCAGCCCCCGCGCCGCCTCCCATGGAATCAGGTGGACCGAGGTTCGAATCCCGGCGACGCCGGTAAGCGCCGATTTTCAGTTCTGCAGTTATCTTATTTGGAGCATTGGCAAGAAACGGAGGGCTGTGCCACACGGCGAAAATTACACTGGCGGGATGTGCACTTCTTTTACTGGCCGCCCCGCCCCGCCCTCCCCTGCCGACGCCGACGGTCAGGCCCGTCAGGCCCGCCCCGAAATGTTTTGGCGCCATATAGGACTCGGAGGGCGTTCCACATGTGCGCGTTTGATTTATGATTCGCTGGGCGGGAGGACCGTAGTACGCACCGCACCATACGCGGTAAACGAAATAAACATTTTAGCGAGGAATAATTACCGAGGACTGGGGGAGAGTTTGTCACCACTGCTGCAAGCACGAGCCTTGGCGATTTTGCAAAGTGAAAAGTCTTGGCGGTTTGGTTGGTGTTCCAGAAGGCTCAGGTGACCTGCGAGTGTAGCAGGTCATCGCCGACGGTCTCCGGTCCGGGGGCCTCTGGGGACTTGGGAATGGACGGATGGATGGATAGATGGATGGACCAGTCGGGGGCGGCAAACGGCAACAAGTGATCCGGGTGTCCCTCCCCTCCCCGCTCCCCCACCTCCCCTTCCCGCCGCGCCCCTCGCCGGCCCACCCCCACCCCGCCGCCGCTCCAGGCGGCCAGCCACGCAGCCAGCCAGTCCGGCCGGGGCCCCCGCTAGCCGGCAGCCAGCAGCCAGCCAGCCCAGCCGCCAGTTGCGCCTCAGCCGCCGAAGTGAGAGCACGTTCGTTCCGTGTGCCGTCTCGCGCTGAGAGCCTTCCCTGTGCGGAGTCTGCTAGTTACGTAAACCGTGTGAGTGTGCGGCGCGACGCAAGTGCTGTGTGTGAGTGAGTGCGCGAGGCAGCGATGTCAACGCGATAGGCCGACGGCTCGTTCGTGCGTTGGACGTCCCGCTACTCCATGCCTTGGATTACCTTCTCTTCACGGCGTCGACGGCGTCCTGAGGCGTCATCGTAGGAGATGAGGCCGTTGGGGCCCCGGCAGGGGTTGGTGCGCGCCCTGCCCGGCCTGCCGGCCCTGCACACCGTGCTGCTGCTGGCCGCCGCGGTGGCCGCCCTGCTGCGAGGGGCGTGTGCGGGGGAGATGGGCGAGCAGTGCGACTGGAACGGAAGGTGAGTCTGGAAAACGGAACGCGGCGACCAGTGTTCAGACCTTGTTCCCGCCAAGGAGCCGGGGAGGGTGCGTGGGTGGAGTACTCTGACACCCTGACCCCAGACAAGACTATGATCTGTGCAAAGCGGATTATCGGGCGACGACCTCCGAGGTCCCCACCCCAGGGCGGTGTGGCGGTGGCGCAGCAATGCGCTGCAATGCGCAGCACCTGAGTCGAGGGGCCTGGGGGTCACAGTGGCGGCACCAAGCGGCACCAGGCCGTGTCGCCTTATTGTTTCTGTGCGTGCACGTGCAGGCCCTGTCCCTTCTCACCTCGAGTGTGTTTTATGGCGGCCCTCACGCCACCCTCGTATATACATCACGACAAGCAGCAAGAGTGCGCAGCAACGCGCTCCACGTCCGTGACACTTTTTCCAAGGAGGCGTGATATCGGTCAGTCTGACACTGCTGACACCGGTTCAGTTCGTAATCCGGTCTGCTGACGCCGCGCGGGCGTCCCAGAGTCCAGACAGCCGCCGGCGCCAGGCGACCTCGCCGGCGTGCCGCCGCTGACCCCTATCTCCGGCTTGTCCAAACAGTCCAAGCCGGTCAAGGGTTGTGTTTCTCTTTCATCGCTATCGCGGCGCGCGCGCGCTTGTGCAACGCGGCGGTCGGGCCGCGGGTTCGAGTACCGCCGGCGGCCATCATTTTTACTTTTCGCCGGTCAGCGGCTCGCCTTGCCGGGGCTCTAACGGTGCGTTTGCCTGTTGCCTCGGCCGGTGTCCGCGCCGGGCGTCGAGGGCGTCGCCGCCTCCCAGTGCAGGCACTGCGCCGCCTCCCACCCCGTTGTGCCCTCGAGGGTACCCGAGTAGGGTCCCGAAGCGATATTTTATTGCCGTCGTTCGCGCGCCTAGAGGGGCGGGGCTTGGCCTGGGGGCACGTCGCAGGCTGCTAGACCTCTAGGCCTCTAGCGTCAGCCCGCCGGGCAGTCCGGTACAGTCCGGCACAAAAACTGGTGCCTTATTTGGAAGCGGGGGTGAGGAAATCGGCGCGGTGGAGAGGAAAAGCACGGCCATGCTTCCACCGAGGCGGCGCCGCCAACCGATGCTCGCTGCACTACGCTGCACCCTCGATGCCCAGCCAGCGGACCAGTGCACTTTGCGCGGCTACCTGGCGGCGACCTGGCGGCGACCCGGCGGGGGACTGTAAACCTACCGTAAACAGGGTGCCCACTCTGTTTTGGATGGTTCTGGAGACGGCGGGGTGGGCCGGGCACCCTGGGGGTGGTCGCTAAGCGACGTCGCTGAGTCGCCTGACTCGGCGCTCGCGGCCGCCCCCCGCGACGGACGGCGGTGCTGGCTGTGCTGCAGACACAACAGTTTGCAGGCGTTGCATTCCGGAACCGATCGGGCTTTCGCGTATTGGCACGTCCTGCCCTGCCTGTCTGCCCGCCTGTGTCTGTGTGTCTGTCTGTCCGTCTGCCTGTCCGTCTGTCTGTCTGTCTGTCTGCCCGTCCGCGCGGCGCGTGTCTAGCGAGTCGCGGCGCGATCCGTTTAGGACACCTTGTCTGACCGAGCGGCCCCGGCCAACCGGCATCGGGCCGGCGAAGGGCGGGGCGGGGAAGGGGGCTGATCTCGCTTGGTCAGGCATTCCAGCGCCCCGCCCCGCCCCGCCCCGCCCCGCCCCGCTCGCCTCGCGCGCGCCCCGATGGACCAGCGACCAGCCCGTGCCGGTGGCGGTGGCGGCAGTCCCTGCCCGCCCTCGGAATGCGATGGCGGGGCGGGGCGGGGCGGCCATGCGGGCATCGAGGCCCTTTTGTCGATCAGCTGCGTGTAATTACCACAAGCACGGCCTGCACGGCCTGCACGGCCTGCTCGGCGTGGCCGCTCGCTGCGGCTGCGGGTCGCCGTCGTGTCGTGACAATCGCGGCGCACAGGTGCGCGTCGCGGCTGCGGGAAAAATCCCCCGCACGCGGGGAAATTCCCCGCGCCGGGCTAACGGACAAGCTAATTGCACGGCGGCAAGTCGAGTCTGTCGTGCCGCGCCTCGCCGCGCCTCGCCGCGCCCTGCCCCGCGTAGTGCTGGAGCTGCTGGAGCCTCTGTGGCCGCGATGCCGCGATGCTGGAGAAGGATGGTTTGTGTTGATGGACCGTTTTCACACCTCGCCGACAGCGCGCGAGAGCGAGATGGAGAGACCACCCCGACGCCCTTTACTCCTCTTCCTCCTGACGGCGTCCTGACGGCCTCTGACGGACTCCCGGTCCTGACGGGCGGGGCGGGGCGGGGCGAAGTGCGTCCGTGCTGCGCCGCTGCGCCTCGGAGTGAGCGAGTGAGCCTAGGCGGCAGCCAGCCCTTTCTTACCGCTATTATTCGAGGCATCATCATCTCCCGGGATAGAAAAAGGGGGCGGATAGACCGTCGCACTGCCTCCCTCTATCCGCCTCTATCCGCGTCGATACGCCCCTACGCCCTCGGCCCTGTCTGGTCCAGGCGGCGCGGCGCGCGGCCGAGTGGCGGTAGTAATGACTTTGGATACAAAAACGCTCCCATCGCTCGCTGTCTCATCCAGGGTCCGGCAAGTGGCGGCCGCCTCGCGTGCCGCGCGGACACTCACACACTCACACTCACATGGACGCCCTCACAGACACACACACACACACACTGTCGACGGGCCGTTCATTAAACTAATTGTACGACTCTACCGCACACGGCATGGGCATGCGCTGCTCACACACACACACTTACTCACACATACACACGCACACATGTCTTAAAGAGATAAAGGCATGCTGCTGCTTTTAGGCTGCTCCGTGGCTGATTGCCGCCTTTATAGAGCATTTGTTGGCGCAGCAACTCATGACGCGACACGCAAGCTGGTTGCGCGTGTGTGCGTGTGCGAGCTTGATGAAACGGGGGGAAAACGGCGTTGTCGTCGAGGGCCTTATGAACCTGCTGGCTGCGGCTTCTGTGTCGCGCCGGTTGGGGTCGATTGCCCGGCGAGTACGTACGTCTAGCGGTGGCGGCGCAGGCCGTGAGCCCTGCCCCCGCCCTGCCCCCGCCCTGCCCCCGCCCTGCCCCCGCCCTGCCCCCGCCCTCCGCGCGCGCCTCGGTCGCTCGCGTCTCGCGTCAAATGATAGTCATTTTCCGGCGAGCAGCGTCGGAGGCATCAAACGATGATCAGCGTGCTGCGGCGCTGCGACTGCTGCGAGCGGGCTGCGTGCCACCGGTGCATTATTTTGCATGTCTCTGCAGCCGGCTCAGTGTTGTGTCTCTCTCGCCCTCGCGGGGCGTTCCGTCGGGGTGCGAGTGAGACAGACATCAGAATGGGCGTGCTGCGGTCGGTCTTCCGTTTGGACGCAGTCACGCGCACGCCCCCTGCTCATTTGGCCGACGCCGCAATGCGCTGCCTTGCGACGCGCCGCAAGGTGAAGCAGTGCCTCGTCGCGGCGGTCGTGCGCCGTGCGTCGTCGTCGACGTGGCAGCGCCATGGGCAGCGCGCCGCCGCCCGTCGCGCCAGGAGATCCTGGAGACGTCTGGAGAGGAGTGGGGAGGGGTTCCTGACATTGAACTCGTGCCAGACGGGGGGAGCGTGGCACGACGCGGCGTGGCGTGGCCGCCTGAAAAGCTTTAGGACCCGTCGCGCCCCGCCCCGCCCCGCCCCGCCCCGCCCCGCCCCGCCCCGCCCCGCCACGACGACGAGCAGTGCCGGAGCGTGCTGGGGGAACGCGCTGGAGAAGGAGGAGGAGAAGAGGAAGAAGCAGGAGGAGGAGGAGTAAGAGGGGGCAGGCGGCAGGGCTGCAGGACATTCAAATGAGTACATTTTCGTCATTCCGCTCGGTTAGCACCTCGGCTGCCGCTGTTGGCGCTGCCGCTGTTGGCGCTGCCTTGAAGCGCGCAGCGCGCAGCGCGCCGGGCATTGTTTATCCAAGTCATCTTGTTGGCCGGCTGTTCGGCGGCGCGGCCGCTGCTGCGGACAGGGTGTTGGAATGTGTCGCTGGGCTCGCCGGCGGGGTCCTGGGGGCCGAGTGGAGGTCCTGGCGGCCGCGCTGCCCCGGTGAAAGGGATCATTCCGGGTACGGTGACGCAGCGAACGGGCGTGGCGCGCCGGGGGCGGTTGGTTGGGCCTGAGGTCGGCGGTTCGAATCCCCGCCGCGGCCGTCCCGTTGGCCGTTTTGGCGGTGTGTGCGGTGGCGCCGCGGCGGAAGAGGGTCCGCGGTCCGCCCACGACGACGGCGACGTGCGGGACGCGGGGCGGGACGCGGGACGCCGCCCCCCGCAGCGTCCGCCTGGCAGTACCTCGCGCCTCCACTGTGTCCGGCCGACGGCTACACCATAAAGTCCCCGAATTTTATTATTTAAAGTCGGCCGGCCGGCAGCGGACTGGCAGCGCTGTTGCCGCGGCCCGGCGGCCCGGCCCACTCATCATCGCCGTGCCGGAGGTGTCCGGGGAAAAAATGGCGGCGGCGGGAATCGAATTGAATTGAAGATAAATCGAGTCGGATTCGATTTATGGTCGTCCGGGCGCCGCGTCGCGACGACGCGCCGGACTCGTCGGGGCGTCCCGGGAGTTTCGCTGTTTCACTCGGCAGATGCATTCTGCGTCTTTGAAAATGTTACTCTGGCGGCGCGCTGCCCGTCCGCGCACTGCCCGTGCGGCTCGCGGCGCTGCGGCCATGTCGCGCCCACGCCCCGCCGCCCCGCCCCCGCGGAAACTCGCTCGCCGCCATGCTCGCCGCCATGCTCGCCGCGCCCGTCCTGGCGGCGTGCCTCGGCAACGGCCTGCATGGACGGCGCGGCGTTCGCCTGCAAATCCCCTCATAGAGGCGGCCGTCGGGTCGACCGCCGCCGCCGTGAGCGCCATGGCCTTTCACCGAGCGGCGACACCGCCCTGCCCGGCCCTGCCTTGCAGACTGAATCCGAGAGTCGTTTTCGTCGCTGTCTCTCTCGCACTCATGGGGCGTTCCGTAGGTTGATGTGGACCGTGCGCTGGGCCCCTGGGCCAGCCATGCGATGGGTCATT